GCCACACACTGAAAGCCAGAAAAAGACGCTGGCATGACAGACCACCTATCTCATGTCAGGCATATTTCCAGACATTTTCTGAGTCTCCCAAACCAATTATCCTTAACCTTTTGAGGTTGGTCATATGTGTTTGTACCTTGGAGAATCCACTGAGAGCTATGGATTGTGTCTCCCAGATAAAGTTACTGATTATGCACATAAACAAATGAAGGGCTTGGAGATGGAGGTTAAGGTTAAGACCTGGCAGCTGGGCATAGTGGCACCTGCCTTTAATCCCAGTACTAGGGAGCAGAGGCAAGTGGATCTCTGTGAGTTTGAGGGCAGCCTGGTCCTCAGAGTGAGTTCCAGGACAGCCAGAGCTACACAGTGATACCCTGCCTGTTTTAGGTTTTCTTAGGCACCAGGGACCTTTTCTTTTGGCAGCCTTGGCATATCAAATACTTTTGTATATATCCACAACCCATGGCAAATGGGAACCATACGCACATACGCATGTATATACATAAGTCATTTCAAATTGCACTTGTCTGATTTGACGAGACATATTAATAGATCGTCAATAAAAATATGAATTCCAATGTTGTGTATTATTTTTCTATCTTGGACCAATAAACTTCTCTGGGTAATTTTACTAAATAATAAAACAGAAAAATGCATACATGTCATGTGTACAGTGAATTTTTAAGAAGTGAGATTCCCTGTAACACCAGCTCTCTGGCCCTGAAGCAGAAGCGTGGGGGCCTGAGGGTTCCCAGGTCCCTCTCCTCCACCACCCTCAGTAGTGGAACAGCCATGTTGGTTCTTTCTTCATAGGCAACTGTGTCTGTCTTTGAATTTGTCTCAGGCTCTGTCTGATTACTTTTGTGGAGCCGGTGTTTTTATCCCAGGTCTCAGGCTTAGGTCTGATCGACCATGTGTTTTCCTATTTGAGGGAACTGGGGCTGCCTATAAGGCATGCTGCTGTGTTAAAGCCACATTTGCATCAGCTTGTCCTTGAGGGAATAGAAGGCAAAGGCCAGGTGCGGTGCTTCCTACAAGGACGACATGGGATGTGGGAGAGGAATTCCCAGGCCAGCAGTTCCTGAAGCAGCTGAAACTGGATGTGGAGGGAAAGAGTGGCTGTTTCAGGTCTCCTCCCTCGACCCACACCTCTAGAATCCACAAGCAACAGCTGCTGGTTTAGTTAGGGTGGTGGAGGAAGTTTTATAATACCTGAATGGCTTTTCTGCACTCTTAACTCTCGGGTGCAGTACGTGATCCCACCACTTGGCGGCACCACGAACTTCTATAAAGTCCATGGTCCTCCTGTCACACAGGCCCTATCTTAACCAAACCAACAGAAGAAAGCCAATGCATGCAGCAAGGGGAAAGCACGCACTGAAAGCTGCCTGGAGTGTGCCAAGATGGCTGTGCCCTTCAAAGGGGACAGGGAATAACCTGTCCTGTGAGGGCGTGTGTCTGTTTGTCAAGCCACCCTTCATCAGATCTGCAAAGTCAGGTCTCCCCTACCATTCACTGGGCTCCCCCTGGGGGTCCTACATGCCTGTGAGCATAGCCCACTCATATCCTGTGCTACTGGGCATGGAGGTGCTAGCCCTGCTTCAGAACACAGACACCAACAGCCCCAGGTCCTTCCCCCTGGGAAAACGCCGCTCCAACATCCACTTAACTGAGGGGCCTTTGAAGCTGGAATCACCCCTGGCCCTTTCTGTCCTTTGCAAGCTCCTTCTTAGATTCAAAGCCAAGCTCTGCTGCAACATTTAACTTCTGTGCGTGTGCCTCATCTCTGGAATAGGGATAGTAATACTATGGAGGGGTCGATAGAAGGTCTAAACAATGCTTGTAATGGCTTAGCCTAGTTGGGCCCAGACACACGATAAGGTTTTCTTTAAATGTGTACCATGTGTGTGCATGATGCCAAAGGCGGCCAGAGGAAGGTGCTGGGTCCCCTGAAAATAGTTACAGTTGTGAACAGCATGTGGGTGCCAGGAACTGAACTCGGGTCCTCTGGAAGTTCTCTCAACATCTCTCCAGCACAGCTACGGTTTTCACTATCATCACTGACATTTGAAAGTGGGAGAATGGATGCCTCTCAGCAAGTCAGGCACGAGAAGCAGGGGTGTTAGGTGGATCTTTACCAATTTGTGAATCCCCAGGCTTCTTCAGGGCTCCTTCACTAAACAGCTTGGCTGAGGTTCAAGCCTGACCTCCTACCCAAGCAGAACTGAGGCATGACCCTCCCTGCTGGCGGAGCAGCTAGCTCCCCGACCCACTTGATCACACCCCAAGACTGAGCAGAGGCAAAGGCCCAGGCTTCCCAGGGCTCAGGTACAGAGCAAGGTGTGTCTTAGAAGTAACAAGTGGAAACTTCTGAGCTACCCGGAGCTCTATTCCGCACCACCCAGAGACCACCTCTCCCTTGGCCCCACCCCAGGACCAGAACTGTGGTTCCTGTGGCCTCATGAGGTCCCCTCGGATCAGATCCTGGCCAGAAGATCTGTGTGGCCTAGCCCACCACAGCCTCAGGCAGCTCCTATCTGGGAAGAAATCCCTGCTTTAACTCATCCACCAGCTCTATAACTGGAGCACATTACTCAACCTCTTGAGACCTTTGAGAAGACTTGGCTAATCTTTAAAATGCCCCTTGTCTCTAGAATATGGTTTTAGCAAAGTGTCTGGCATATCATAGGTGGTTAATAAATGCCTAGTTTTATTATAATTTCCAAGGTATAGCTATGCTAGTTCCTAATATCTGCTTTCTAATCTCTTCACTTGGTCGGGGGCGGGGGGGTGTACACAGGCCATGGTGTACATGTACAGAGATCAGGGGACAATTTTGGACAACTGGTTCTCCCCTTCCACCCTTACTTGGGTTCCAGAGCTCAGACCTAGCTCATCAGGCCTGCGTGGCAAGAACTTCACTGAGACATCCTACCAACCCATTCTAGTCTTCAGTAATGAAGATGGCTGGTGTGATTCAACCCAGACAGTGCCTGGCCTAGAGGAAGAGCACAAGAAACAGGCCCTACCTAACCCACTGATAGATTACTTTTGACTTAGCTTTTATTTGAACCTATTGTGTCCACCCAAAGTTGTAAATCCGCCACAGATTAAGGAGCGGTAAAGGTGGGATGTCTACCTCCTCACTGACCCACAAGCCCCAGGGAGACAGAGTTCATCCATCCTGTGCCATCTGCTTCTCGCATACGCACTGAGCGCAGCGTCTCTGCATGAACCTGGGATGCAGAACTAAGCCCACCACCATGGACTAGTGGAAACAGCATGGAGCCTCAAGCTGGCAAGTCCTTTTATTGGAAAAAGAATAAAGCAAAAGTTCTCCATTTTGCCTCTCCCCAGCAGGATGGTCAGACACAATGCATGGCCATACAGCAGGCTAGAGGGCACAGGCTTCTGCTAAGAGTCAGGGGCTGTAACTTGGGAATAAGGGGTTCATTGCACCAGGGCTCATCAGGCTCAGGCTCCCTGGGGCTTTGGGAGCTTGGCTAGCCCTCTCCATCTCTCTGCATAGTCTCCTGATGTCACATGCTGCTGCTTCGGCCAGTAGAGAACCAGGTCCAGAAAGCTACCTATGTGGCTGCTGTTTCCTGACTACTTCTAGCACCTCCTGCCCTCTGAGGTAGGCAGCCTGTTTTCTGTCCATATTCAGGCCCCAGGATGCCCACCACCACCACTGAGAGCCCCAGCACCATTGGCTGGCCAGTCCTTCTTCCCCTGCAAGGCACATTTGCCTTGAATGTCCAGGGAACCTCACCTGCAGGGCCTCTGGGCCCTGACACCTGTGCAGGCTGAATATGCAGCATCTGTGGTCCCACTGTGTGATGGGGACTGGGAGAGGGGCATTGGCTCTGTTCTCCAAGGCCCCAGCCTTTTCTCCATTAGACCCAGAGGTGGGAGAAAGGCCAGGAGGAAGAGCCAAGCTGCAGCCCAGCTTTAGGGCACTGACTTACAGAGGGCCAGGAGGGACTCACAGGGAGGTGCTACAGATCATCGTGTGACAGGACAGGACAGGACATGGTAGTCATTATCCCAGCAGCCAAAGAGAACACACAAAGTAATCTCTCTTTCCACACACACGCGCTCACGTAGACATTCATGCTCACACACGTGCACTTCTGCACAAGCATACATAACTTGCACACATGTGTAAACACACACATTCTCACTCATTCGCTCAAATAAACGTAGGTTTGTGCATACATGTGCACACACTCACACTTGTGCAGTCACACATTCACACTCACTAACATGCATATGCTTGTATGCTCACATGTGCACATACATGTTTCCCCACCCATAAACTTACATACATACATTTTGCACAGTATGCACACAATGCAGGAAATGGCTCCAGTTCAGGAGTTCAAGCTCTGTCCAGCTGCTTTCATCCACAGGGTTTTACCATAGCCCGGTGGAACACACCCCCCCCCCCAAGAGTCCCAGGCTGAACACCCATAACCAGCTCCTGGTGGGGTGCAAAGTCTCGGAGTTGGGTTCTTCTTGGCAAGGCTGAGAGAACCTTCCACTGTGAATGAAGGACCCAGCCGTAGAAACCGCTGGATAGCTCCAAGGGCACCCATCTCCCCAGATCTCCAAGGAGGAGGTGGGATCATTGACAAATGGGAGCCCCAAGGTGACCTTGGGCCTTAGGAAGAGCCCCAGGAAGCAGAGTCCGGGTAGACACGGGCTTTGAGGGTGAAGGATCATGCAGGGTAGGAATTCTCCAGGTTCTCCTTAGGGAGGGGGAAGAAGGCAAGGAAGAGAGGGTTCATCCAAGCTGGGTTTTCCCCACCCTCAGACTTCCCTAGGAAAGCCTGGCTCTGATGAATCGGATTGCCCTCTGAGAGAAAGAAAGGTCCAGGGATACAAAGAGGAAGATCCTGCCCTTGGGCAAAGGACTAAGGAAGCAGAACACCGGGTAGTCACCCTCCCTCCCGCGCCACGCGGCAGGGTGGGCCCAGAGAAAGACTCAGAAGCGGGTGCTCTGGTAATGCAGCCTCCGCAGATCTGCCAGCCCCTCGCTCCGGCCATACACCTCCCTACAGGGACTCTCGGCCAGTCACCGGGCCCCCGCCCCACCCCCGCCAGCGCTGCTGCTGCCGCTGCCGCTGCTGCTGCCGCTGCTGGAACTGCCACTGCTACACCGGTCCTCATAGATGGCGATCTCGATCTGGGATGATGGTTAAGGAGCTGCGAGCACCCAGCAGTTAACCGGGAAAGGGGGTACAGATCTAGAATGAGGCCTGCCTGTGACCGAAGCCCGATGTGCCCAATAGCAGAGACCAGAAAGGCCTGAAGTCCCCAACCCTTCTCCAAGCCTCAGCTAACCTTTTCTGAGAGGACACAGGGCTGACTGCACGATGGGATCCCATGTTTGGCCTTCCTTGAGATGCATTATGGGATCTCAAGTCACGGAGGCACCGGGAAATGGTGTTATACGTGTAAACACTTCCATTTGCTGATCCCTACTGACACACTCAAGTTAGGCCAGTCGCTTCACATCTGTAAACTGGGGACACTAGCAGAGCCTTGGGACCCCTGTGCAAATTAAATGGAGTTAGTATCTGAGCCCTAAGCACAACACAAGGGCCCAGGGAAAAAGAAGCATGGGGAAACTTGCGTTTGTAGAAACTATGTTTTCTGAACTCTTCTCTCAGCTTTATTGTAAAATGTATTGTTTTAACTATTCTATTTCTCTTGCTACTGAAAGGGAAGTTCTTCACCTGAACAACGAATCCAAACGGGGTCAGCAGAACTGTCTCCACCCCTGCACAGCCTATCACTAAGATGGCCACCCCAGAGGAGCATCCCCATCCCAAACCTCATTTTTTAAAATCTGTGTTCAGTGGGTGGGGGGGATATTAAATGAGATTGTGAAAGGCTTGCAGGTTCTTTGAGAGCAGATAGCATTGCAGGTTAAGAGAGCCAGGGCTCAAACCCTGACTGACAATCTGCTGCTTAAAGGTAAGTGATGACCAGGTTACCTTCAGTGTCCTGTGTACACAGAGGGTGAGAAGGGCCCACCTGGTGGGGTGTGATAAAAATCACATGAGATTGTATTTTGCGAAGCCTTTGCATGGTGATATTAACTGATGGCACGCAGTCCAGTGCATACAAAGCCTGAACTCACAAGTGGCCCCAGTGGTGGAAAGTGAAGGGGCATCTACGACCAGTGACACGTGGGACCCTGGAAGGCCCCACGGAGGCTCCTATTTCCTAGTAACACCTCAAGGGACCCACTGGGTAGACAGCTCTGTGATCTCACACAGAATAGCCTGGAAGGATACAACCCTCATCCCACGTTCCACAGGATCCGTGAGCAGGAGCCCTCGAGGAGCGAAGACCTTCTCGTTCTGCTCCTGGATGTAACGGGAAATCTTCTTGAGAACCTGAAGAAACAGGGGTCCATAAGGGTCAGTCTGTGGTAGGGAAGCTGGGGGACAGGGGACGGGGAAGCTCCACCTTCTCATAGTGGGTCTCCGTGCAGAGGAAGATGAAGTAGGCCGTGGCACAGGCCAGGCAGCCCTCCAGGTAGGAGCTGCCCCCAATCTTCTCAGCTTCCGCATAAAAGCCATTGAGGGTCTTCACGGTCTCTTCAAAGAGCTGCCGCTCAATCTAGAAGGAGAGAGGGAGACTGTTAGCCTCCCCAACGTGAGGACAATCCCAGGTGGGGCCACATGAGTGGGAGGTGTTGATATACTGATACACAGGCACAAGCAAGAAGCTGCAGGCAGACAGAAGCCCTAGAGTCCAGTCCAGACTCGTCCGTGAGCGAGACGTGTGGCCCTGCACCAGTGGCCTGCCCATGGTGTCCTGGTTCCCTCATCTGTAGGGTAGGGTCAAGCACAGCTGTTGGCCTCTCTTGGGAAGAGGACACTCATGATGTCCTAGAGCAATGGTTCTCAACCTTCTTAATGCTGTGACCTTTTAATATGTTCCTTGTGCTGTGGTGACCACCAACCATAAAGTTCTCATTACTACTTCATAACTGTAATTTTGCTACTGTTATGAATCATAATGTAAATATCTGATATGCAGGATATCTGATTTGTGACCCCTGTGAAAGGGTTGGTTGACCCCCCTGCAAAGGGGTCTTGACAGACAGGTTGGAACCACTGTCATAGATGTTTTATGCTGAAGCTCAAATAAGTATTCTGGTGACATCAGTTCCCACTGTGATGATTGTATACCAGAGCTCAACAGCAAATTCCCACACGCAGATTCTCCAGATTTGGAAGGGGTTTCAGCTGCTTGTGACTGACAGTGGGAGCTCTGGAGTGCCACTCCTGGAGCATTTTTCCTCCTAGCTAAGAAGCCACTAGCCACTGTGTGTGTGTGTGTGTGTGTGTGTGTGTGTGTGTGTGTGTGTGTGTGTGTGTACAGCCAGGGGGTTGGCCTGTATCTATAACAATAGGAAACACTAAGAACTATGTGCCAGCCTTCTCACGAGCCCTCATATAAACTCAAAAGCGTTCTTGTCACCACTACTCTCTGACAGGTGAGGGTTGCTGGACCCCTGAGGCCCCACCTCCCGCCTCCCTGGCCCCTACCACTGCTAACTTCCTGTAAAGGACAGGCAGGCTAACCTGAGAACGGAATGCTCATGGTTTTCCAAGAGCCATTGGGGAATTCAGTCAGCAAAGACCAGCTGTGCCTCGCCTTTCAAACTTCCTCAATTAGCCTGCTCTACAACATAAACCAGCACTGGGTCTGTCCACCTCCAATCCCAAATCAGCTCTAAGGCAGCCCCTGATAGGAACGTGTACCTTCAGAAACGGGCAGATCACAGCCCTTGGCTAGCTGCCTTAGATGCCACAGCAGATGAAGATGGGACATCAGACTCCCTCCTGCCTTTAAAACAGGTAACAGCAAGAAGGAAAGCATCCCTCTAGCTCTTCCTATAGGTTGCTAAGCTTCCCTGCCATAGCTCTCATCACATAGTATCTAATTTCATCTGTTCCTGAGGATGCGTTTGCATCAATATGAACATCAGAGGCCAGTGGAAAAGCAGAAAAGGCAGGCACCTGGCTCTTCCAGTACTTTCTAATAACTTGGGTGAGTCACTTCCTGCTTCTAGCCCTGAAGGACTCTTCTGCTTCTGAAGCTGCAACATGTGTGTGCACGCGCAACCTAAGGCTCTGGCTAAAACATGTTCGTATTAGGGAGCTCTAAGGTAAGCTCGGAACCTTGCATTGTGTCTGAGATCCCAGGTGATGCTGACCCTGTCAGCCACAGAGCACAGTTTCCAAGGAAGGGCTTAGTGGTTGTGTTCAGTGCTGACTGCACTTGGACAGTTTTTAAAACCACACTGCACCCAAATCTCATCTCCAAGAGGTGAGGACTCAAATAGTCTGGGAAGGGAAGGGATAGGTCAGAGCAGCAAATACTACTGTCACCTTCCAAGTAGATGCCTTGTCTGACCCCCATTTCCCAAAGCTCACAAGTGGCCCCAATCCAGCCAAGAGTGTAAAGAGGCACTGTGCTAGACAGCAGGCTCCTGCAAGAAGGATCCAGGGATCACTCCATTCTTGCTCACCTGAGAGTTCCTCATTAAAAATTGAAATCTGTATAATTATAATTAAAATAATTTTCACCTAATTTAAAATTTAATTTGTAAATTAAGATGTAAAACAATGCAGGACCTGAGCCTTACTCCCAAAGATTCTAACTGAAGTGCTTTGGGTGGGTACACTGAGATTTTTTTTTTCAGCTCCCCAGAAAATTCTAGTTTGCGAGCTAAGGTTAAGGACAGCTGCCAAGTGGAGATTCCTAAACCACAGGCCAGCAGCTGAGTCAGCAAGCCTGGAGACACCCAATTTCACCCACTAGGACTCAGGGAATTTACATCTGTTTAACAAGTTTTTTAGAGAATCCCCATGCAAGGGAAATTTGAACTGCTGGATTGGAACAAGTCTGGGGTTTTGCATTTTGTTTTGTTTTTTTGGAGAATTTTCTGTGTGCAAATGCAAGATCAATCTTCCCATCTGAGGCAGCGAACTCATGCATTTTGTGGTATTATGTGTCACATAATATGGAAGAAAAAAATACATTCTAAGGAGACCCCCATACCTCACCCCACCCCCGTGCCATCATGAAAGTGGAGCTCTTGTTTAGAAAAAGCTGTCCTCACCCAAAAGGTGCCCTTACCCTGCTATCCAGCTCTGGAGGGAATTTGGTCTGGAACTGACAGATGGTACCATCGCTGTAATCTCTCTGGATGAAGACCTTAGTGGCCAATGATGCACTTCGCCGGAGCTCCTGAAGATTGTGGACCTGAGGAGATGGGCACACTTAGAGGATCATTGTCTCCATGTACTGATAGGAGAGCTCTCCAGCATTGCTGAATCCTGGCGCACGGGAATGGGCTGGCCACACAGCCAGGAGTGACCTAGGGAAGCAGGCCCTGTGCAGGATACATGAGAAGCTGCCTAAGGTCATTGCAAGTCTGCAAAAGTCTAAAGCAGGAGCAAAGCTGGACCAAAACAAGACACTCAGAGCCATCAATCCAGCAGAAACCAGTTCTAAGGAGGGAAGCAAGGCACAATGGCAGCCAGCCCTGTCCTTGGAGAATGTGGCACTGACCAAGAGGGAAAACTTAGTCTCTGTAAGTGCAGGCATGTAAAGAGAGGAAACCTTGATGTGCCCCTGAATTTTAAGGGAAACAGGTCCAGGCCAAGTCCAAAAGGCCAGGGAGCGCCCCCAATGGTTTTCTTAACCCAGAAAGGGGCCCAAGAATAACTATTTCCCAAGAGAAAACGTTATAGAGTGTACTGAGGCCAGAGGCTGAAGTAATCGGTTTCCTTGGTTGGAAAGAGTGGGGTGACCTTTGTCTCTCCATCCAATCTGAAAACAACATTGACGACACAGCACTTTTTTGGGGAGTGGGCTCCATTCCACAAAAGAACAAGATCTCTTTCTTCTACCTCTCCGGCCTCAGTCACTCACACTGGAGAAAAACACCTCATTGGTGAAATACGCCCAGCATTGGAACCACATGGAGACCAGGCCCTGAAGGCAGAGTGCAGAAACAATTCATCCTGTGTAATTAGCTGAATCCGTTCAGTCACTCTATTCATTTATTGAGTCCCTACTAGTGCCAGGCTCTCCAGATGCTGAGCAAAAGTCACTCTCTGGGCTCCAGGGAGGAAGACGAGTAGATGAGTAATGAATTAGACTGTGATGAATGGCTGAAACAAAGTCACATTTACTCAGAAATGTTTATCAACAAAGGCTTCCTGGAGACTGTATTGAGTCCTCTAGGAAGGTTAGGGATTAGCAGTGGCAGGGGCTGACCTGAGTAGAAAGCAGAGGAAAGGGTGACCCTAGAAAAGGGAGTAATGGAGACAGCAGAACATGACCTGCACCAGTGGCTTGAGGCAGTGTTTTTAGCAAGACCAAAGTTTGCAGAACAGATACAACCAGTGGGAAATGAACCTGTACTGCAGACAATGGTAAGATCACAAGTAGGATGGATCTCTGCCAACAGGAAAAAGTGCAGGTGGAGATGCCTAACAGCTAAGGGAAAGAGCAGAGACGAGTTGACAAGACAGAAGGAATGGATGATTGGTGTGTAGAGGTCTTAGAAATGTAGCAGTCAGAGAACATTACATAAGGCTCTCCTAAATTCAGGTAAACTTTGCTTCAAGCAGCAAATTTGATCTCAGAGTTTTGGGGATGAATTAAATAACATGTAAGTGCTCCTCCAGTGTTAATATTTCTTGATTCCCACTAGCCAGGATCTTTGTTGAAAAAGTCCCCTTTTAGATGGGTGTTATAGCATACACCTTTAATCCCAACTCAGGAGGCAGAGGCAGAAGGATCTCTGTGAGTTGAGGCCAGCCTGGTCTACAGCCAGAACTGTTAAACACAGAGAAACCCTGTCTTGGTGGGGCAGGGGGAGTCCCCTTTTAGTATCTACTAGGATCTTACGACAATTTTTTAAAAATCAACATGCTCTGGTAATATAACCAAGTCTCTCATCAATGTCTCTCTCCATCTGGTTATGGTTTCACTAAAATTCATTTTCATGAGAAAGGAAAGGGGCTTCTCTGCCCTTCCAACACCAGCATACAAGAGCCAGCCATGGATTCCATCGCCTCTGGAAGGATCATTCTGACAGTTTGCAATGTTTCAGCCATTCTGACCTGGACTTGGCTTCCTGCCACAGGCAACATCCTTTGTCTGAGCCTGCACACACACCTGTGTACACAGATGCAGGCGATATCATGAGCCATGATAGTGTGTCTCTTAGTGACTGGCTATCTGATGACCAGCTATTTCTTCCTTCTCCTAGTTACACAACTCAATCCATTCCAAGCCTTCCTTGCAAGTTGGAGTGGCCACATGCTGAGCAAAGTGGAACTGATGAGTATCCTATTTGACTCATACAGACCTGAAACTCCTCCCTTCTCCCAAAACCAGAGGGGTCAGGTATTGAAGACAGTGCAATTGGAAAGGGCCTGGGTCCCTGAATGCCTGCTGATTGGGAGCCCCCCCCCATTCAGGACCTTAAGAAGGAAGTAATCTTTAATTATTAAGACATTAGGTGCTGGCTCACATAATACAGACCTATTTCCTCTTGACTAATTCATTCACTCTCAAGTCCCTGGAGTGGGAGCGGTATCCTAAACCTAAGAGCCTGTCCTGGCTCCAGATGACTAGGTGTCTGCTTCTACCCCCTGGAGATTGTATATTAGAGGAGCAGATGAAGCATACTTTGCATGTAAGCGCCTTCGCATGCCAGGACCTGCGGGGTGCACATATCACACACCTGGGTGGAGTTGGTGAAGAATAGGATTTTAGACAAGAAAGGGTCTCCTGGTTCTTTTCTCTCCATCTTTGGTGGTTTCATCATGAAGTACTAAGGGTCCAGGCAGAAAGGTAGCCTGCTGAGCACAGTGGCACAACACCCGATCTTGGGTCACCTGACCCTTGAAAACTCTGCCCTTCTCTGTCCCCCATTTCCTCAAAGACACTAAACTTGAACCCTATAATCATAACCCCTCCTGTCCCCAACTTCAAAGAAGCCTTATCGGAAATTGTGAACATAAGCATTTACAGAGACAGAGCGGTCAGTGGGCTGCGTCTGGCCTGTGGCTAATAAGAGAGCTTGTGACTGTGTTTGAGGGCCAGCTGGCCATTGCCATTGAAGGATGCACACCCAGGGACCTGACACTTGTGATTTTTCAAAAGAAGCCACAAGTCCAGTTTTTTTTCTTAGTGTCAGGTATCCTGATTTCTAAATGTTTCCAATGATTTTTTTTTAATGTGTGAGCACTGAGCAGGCTAAATATGGATCACCTATGAATAAAAACTAACTCCAGTTGGAGAATAAAGATGGCGGCTAGGGCCAGATCCCAAGCACTTACTGACCAGCTTCTTGGGCTCCAGGAAACAGGAAGTTCTTACAGTCACCCCAATACTCTGCAGATTCTATGTGTCTCTCGCAGTGTCCCCTTAGAAACTCTGCAGGGGAATCTTAGAGTCTCTGAGAACTGAGCTACTCCCTATCTCTCCCTGTCCTCAGCCCTGCCCCTCTCTCTCATTGCCATTCCCCAGTCTGCTGGCAGCTAAGGCCAAGACCAAGATTCCTTCATGAGGAGGAAAATCACTGGTGAGATCTGTGGATACCATTTCTCAAGCCACGATGGGACAAGGAATGGGAAGATAACTGGAGATGGGACACAGCAGGTGTCATAGTGTGTCTCTATACACCTGGCAGTCCTTCAGGCTGGACTTGTACAGAGCAATCACTGGAATGCAATGAGCTCCTGAGCCTGGTATGCCTAAGACAAACAGGAGGTCCCAGCTGGTCCATAGATTCATCCTCACTGAAGACCTACTCATTCCTTAAGATACAGGTGACACACAGCTCACCAATCATGGGATCCGTATGATGATCCAACACTGGGCTGGGCTACAATAGGCAAGTGCAAATCATGAGTCACTGGCAGCCAGGTAGGACCTGAGAGTGGAAATCTGGGCACAGGGCCACCCTTCTCCTCAAGCTCAAGCTCAAGCTAGTGACTCGGAGATCAGACTTCCAAATACCCTTCCTGGATAACATCTCTGATGTGCCAAAACCTACTTCGAGAAGCCCCTCCAACAAAAGGCACTCATCCGCTTGTTCTTGGCCATTTGGACTGTTTCCCAGGCAGCTCCTGCTCCTAGTGACACACATTTGCAAAGGTCTACTGCTCAGATCTCCAAACGAGGTCAGGGCCTCACTCAGGGATCTTTCTCCCTCCTCACGCACACCCTCCCCTAATGCTAACTTCTAAACAGGTTTTTTTTTTTTTTCCAATGTGATGTTGTTTCCCCTCCCCCCCTCCTCTCCTCTCTCTTCCTGTCACCTCTTCCCCTGGAGCTCAGCTCCATCTTCAGAATGCGAAGAACATGACCATGGGAACTTAGAGTGAGGTTTCCCTTCCCAACAGGTTTTTCCTGGTAATTGCAAGCCAATCCTAATAGGAAAAAAACACCCTAGGGGAATGACTCACCCCGGCCCAGGCACCATATAACCATACATCCTGTGCCTTGGCAGAGCCTGAGTTCCTTCCCTTAGCACTCTTAGCAGGGTCCAGACAAGGCTTCTGTCCCTCTGCCCTCAAAATGACCAGCCAGGCCAGTCAGGGAACCTGAGTGCCTCTGGTTCAATGGTTCTCAACCCTCCTAATGCTGCACCTCATGCTATGGTGATGCCCAACCACACAATTATTTTCGTTGCCACTTCATAACTGAAATTTTGCTTGTTATGAATCATAATGCAGATATCTGTCATTTCCAATGATCTTAAAGGGGTTATGAACCACATGTTGAGAACCATTGCTCTAGTTCTTCCTGACATACCTATCCTAACTCAAAGCTCCATCTCTAGACCCTAGCACTTTGCTCTAGTACACCTCATTCTGACTAATTGGATACAATGTCCCAGTTGCAAAGCAACAAAGATAGTGGTCATGGAAGCAAGGTGAATATTGTCTTGACACTGCAGTTGCATCATCTGTAAAATGGGATGATGAAGCCTTCTTTGACTCCTTTGCCAGGCTTGAAGCAAGCTTCCAAGCCTTGGTCGCTTCATCTGCTAATTGCAGATAATAACACCATCCTTGCCCACTTCACAGAGCTGCTCAAATGCTCAAAGGCATTCTGTGTGCCACGGTGCAGTATCCACAGAGGCATTATGAGCAGGGCCTCTCCCAGGGGAGAGTCATCAAGCCTGCCAACAGCTTCCTGGAAACCTGGCCTCCGCCAGGAGGCGGGAGTCTGTGGGCAAAATGTGTGGGCCACAGCACACCTGTAGGGAAGAGACACAAGGAGGCAGGCCTGTCGGGATCCATCAGATCACACTAAAACCTGCTGCTGCAGTCTGGCAGGCCTGTCTGGGAGGTGGCCAGCCCCTTCGTGGTCTTCTCCATCTCTGTGGTACATCCGGAGCACTCTGCATTGCTCTAGAGGGGTTCTAGGAGGGCATGGGTCCCTCCTAGCTAACCTGTATAGCGTCAGAAGGCAAGCAGTGCCAAGCAACATCAGGAGATTCAGTGGGATAATGGTAATAGCACTTGGTACTGATGTCATGCCTCTCACCAGGAAGCCCAGAGGCATTGCACAGAATCATTCACAGGCCTTTGCTTTCCTCCTTGGCAGGGTTCCCGCTAGGCTGCAAATGGGGAGACACCACAAAAGAAGACAGCAGCAGAACTGGGGAGACCCAGTGTGCTGTGTTACACTCCAAAATTTCAAAGAAAGAAACTTTCAGCTCTGCTGTTAGCATGCTGTGTGAATACCAAGCCAATCCTTTTTTCCATGTCAGCTTTATCATGTATAAAGAGCACAAAATGAGGGGAGGGGTAAACCCCAGGGGTAGAGATAAAAATCCTGATTTCTTAAGCATTATGACAAGATTGTGCTCTTAGCTAACAGGTCCCTTGGTCCGTAGGCACACTCTTAAATAAGGCAGCCTTTCCCCGCACACAGGCAAATGTGGGCACTCTGGGACCAGCAATTCAGGCAGAGAAGGACATCAAGGAATGGTTGGTGCAGGAAGTTCCTTACACCAACCCTTTGGGTTCTGGGCCAGAGGATGTCTTTGTCCACACCCTCCTCCTAAGGAAATGAGGATGTAGAGGAAGGTCTGTCTTCCTTAGTCAAGCAGGGTACTGCACCGCATAGCAACAACAGCAGTAGGCCACCTCCTCTCCTGTATACACAAGCATGCAGAGATTTCCAACCCTCCAGGGAATTAGAACCCTGTGTTCAGGAGAAGGGGAAATCCCAACCTAGGCTGGGACCTGGTGCTATTGGTAGCAAGTGGACACTCCAGGGCTCAGGGTAGCATGGCATGCCAGAGGTGATGGGACCGCTACCCAAAGAAGCTCTGTTCATCTGCCCTGCCACTCTATGCCTGCCCCCCCAGGATCCCAGGGAAACACCCCCTTCCTCCACCCGCCCCCGCCTTCTCCTTGCACCCAGTCTGCCCCTAGTGGGGAATCATTCCCTGCGGCATTGCCTGCGGGCTAGGGTGCTGGCGCCTACCTCAGTGGCCATCTTCATGGGGTGCTGACCACTCCTAGGCTGCCTCAGGGTTGGTCCAGAAGGGCTGTCCGCGGTGCTGACTCGGAGAGCGGGTGGGCTCGCCGAGGCCAGCAAAGGACTGGGTGCTGTCCGCGGTGCTGATGAGATCGCCAAAGCCCGAGGCTTGCTCTTGCGGGCAGCAGGGTCCCGTAGAGGGGATCTGTGCTGTCCACGGTGCTGATGCAGGAGCCGGGCCGGGGAGGCGAGGCCGCGCCCGAGGCTCCTCACCGCCCGATCGCCTGCTTCCAGGGCTCCTGCAAGCAATGGTCCGGTTTATCTTTGACAGCGGCAGCAGCGGCGGGTACGGGGGCGGCGGGGGAAGGAGGGGCCAGTGCCTCGGCGGGCGGGGAGGGGGAAGCCGCGGCCCCCAGACTCCGGCACCCGCCGGAGAGGAGCCCCGCCCGCGGCCACCGGCTCCGCTCCCGCCCCGCCCAGTCCCGACCCCGCCCAGAGCCCCGCCTCTCCTGCCTGCCCTCCCCCTGAAGAAGAGCCTAGAGCTCTCTCTGCGCAAGCTGTCACCTTCTCTCGGGACTTCCAGAGGCGGAGTAGAGAGGCTGGACTCTGCCGCAAGGCACTCCAGCCTGTAGGAACGGACGTCCCCACCGGCCTCTACCTTTCTCAACACCCCCAACATCAGACTCTAACCCTTCCCCCACCTTGCCCCTGACTGCCTCCTCTTTTCTTCCCCCCTCTCGACTTTCTAGCCTGATTCATCTCTATGCACGATCCAAGCACCACCCGGCCTTACGTGGACATTTCCCCCTCTTTTCTGCTTTCCTCTTCCTAGAACCCCATTAGCTAGAGGGAGATGCTGTAGATCACAGTCATTATTATTATTGTTGTTATTATTATCATTATCATTATTATTAATACGTGCACATATTTCATCCACAGCTTTGCCCCGGAGTTCCTTCTTTCAAGGAGCTCTAAATGGAAACCAGGCCTACACCTTACTCTTCTCTCCTCTGCCATCCCTGAGTTTAAACACACTCCCACATTATCCCATTACCGACACTAGTCAAAAACAACAACAGAGTGCCAAACCGGTATGCCCACTGTCCAAAGTGGCAATCTGGCATCAGGCCTTCCAATCAAATGGCTAATCTACCTAATAAGCAGAAAGGAAGCCCCAACACAGATACCCTTCCTTGAACACACCCATAATATCCCAAGGTCTGTCTCTGAGGGGAGCTGGGTACCACTCTCTACAGCGTGGCTGCCACAGGTCAGAAGCTGCATGGGGAAGATGAGGCAGCCAGAAGACCTGAGTCCAGTTCAGCCTTCTGCTGACCTCCAGCCTTGAATAACTGTCTCACTGTCTGAGTTTATGGTCCTCTTTCTGCAGAATATACATGTTGACCTTCATTAGCCTATAGCTAGGGTACTTGCTTTTTATTTCACATTTTTATCTTAAAATTTCCAAACATACAGGGGAGGTCACTGTATAGTCACAAACTATACTATCTAACTGCTTCCATAATAGTATTTTTACCACATTTGATTTGTTTGCCTCACCTCTCTGATAGAAATAGAAGCAAGGAGGTGTGTGTGTGTGTGTGTGTGTGTGTGTGTGTGTGTGTGTGTGTGTGTGTGTTCTGACTAGATTATTAGAAATGGAGAGGTTCTACAATATTACCCTTAAATATGTCAGCATTCATCTCCTCAGACTAAGAACCCTTTCCTAATCCACATGTGGTGATGTATGCCTTTAATCTCAGCACTCAGGAGGCTAAGGAGGGAGGGATACAAGGGACCTAGTCTCAAAAAACAGAAAAGCATTCTCCTATCTAATCATATTATCATATCTTTTAAAATTCATCGTAATCTTACTATTTTAGAGTGGTTTGTTGCCTCAAAGACATATTAATAGCAATTCCTCCAGAACTTTCTATTTTTAATACAAACATTTATGGATCACTTACTCTGTGCCAGATGATATGTTCCACACTGCATATATATTTTGTAACCCCTGCGAGTAAATGTTTTTAAATTTTTAAAGTATTTCTCTGTGTATCTCTCTATCTCTCTCCCTCCCTCCCTCTCTCTCTCTCTCTCTCTCTGTGTGTGTGTGTGTGTGTGTGTGTTGAATTTGTGTTGTGAGTGTCAATGTGTGGATGCCACAGAGCCTATGGGGTCAGAGGACAAGCTTGAGTGTCAATCTTCACCAACTACAGAGTCTTTTGTTTGCCATTGCAAACACCAAGCTAGCTGGCCCACCTCACCATATGAGCATTGGGGTTTCAGGCTTGTCTTATCTGGCTTTTTTTACATAGATCTTGGAGACTTGAACTCAGTTCTTCACACACACATCAGACACTTCACCTACTGAGCCATTTCTCCAGCCCCAGTTCCATATTATGCATCAATTTTTATTATTTCAACTCTGTAAAGGAAGAAACAGAATAAGATGCCCAAGGTCTCCTATGAGTAGGATTTAGACAAAGGCAGTCATGCTCTAGAGGCCATGTGTGGCCTGTCCGCTAACTACACTGCCTCCTTTGCAGACATAGGCTGGCAGAGGACCAACATCTCCAACTGCCACTGTTTCATAAGAGCATGCCAGGTCTCTCAGGATAAGAGGCATGCCAAAAAAACAAAACAAACAAACAAACGAAAAACAGCTAAAGGTAGATATTCTGGTCTGCCTTGTAGCTCAGTAAGTATTTTGGCATTAATGTGTAAACTGTGACTGTCTGCTAATCCCATTATGATCACTGCTAACAAGTGAGCCCACCCAGTGGTGTCCGTGTCCTTACTATCCCTTCTCACTTGACTTCAATCAGATTAATTTGACGATAGTCTGAAAACCACCCTGTTCACCTGGAGGCTAGAAGGAAGCCATTCAACAAACCCACCCTGCTCTTTGTTGAGTAGACTCTGTGGACTTGGGATACTGCAATGACTGTCCTTACAGTACTAGACTTATAGACTCGGGATACACACACTGAGAAGGGAAGTTCAGTGCAGAATTGTGATTATTACTAGAATATAAAATGAGCTGTGAGAAGGGCATAGACAGGTTATTTCTGCAGGAGTACTCAGGGGAAACTTGCTGAATAAGGTCGAATTTGGGCAGAGGTCTGAAAGAAGAGAGAGAAATAGATATACAAATACCTAGTAAAAGAGCAACCAGGCATAAAGGACAGAGTTCAAGAGCCTTGAAAAGGAATGGGCCTAAGGTGCCTAAAAAAATAGCTCCAAACTAGTCCCCGTAGAACAGACAGCAAGGGAAAGGAAGGTGGGAATTTTTTAAATGGGAGGTAACTAGGTTTTTTAGGGCCTTATAGGCCCTACTAAGAACTTTGGATCATGGTCAAGAGAGTGAGATAGCCAAGTTGTAGAAGGTCTAGAATAAAGACATGACATTATTGAATTGTAGTTACTCCAAGCTCCACTTCAACCAACCAGAGACCTAACTTAGCTCAAAAGTCCATTCAACTACAAGTGTTCAGAGAGCTTGATGGGCACCAAGTGTGATGCTGCCGCTTTCCCGGGAGTCTTTCCAGTGACACTGTAGGACTAGAACTCCGAGGCCTTGAGGTTATCTATGCAAGCACAGAGGGAAGCTTTCAATGTCTAACTTTATTGACAGAAAGAGAACTTACCAGCCTCAGCCCACTTTTCTGCATTGCCAAGGTAGTTATAACCACCTTGAAGGCCCCCAAAGCTGGGAGGCATCAGAGCAGAGAGCATAGTGAGAAGAGAGCATCACATCATGCTGACTCAGGTTAGGGTAAGACACTATAGGATGGAATGTTCCCACACCCCAGTCGTCTGGGCTGTAACTGGAGAGGCATAGAGGCCTTGAGATTTAATCTGACTAATCGTTATTATCCAGATGCCTTGAGACAGCCCGGTCCCGTGCAGGAGCCTGGGTCTTTGATGTTTTTGTCATAATTTAATGAGTTCACCCACAAAATAACATCAAAGACAATCTACTAACTAATTCACTGTTATCATCTTCCAATCTGTGGCTGCTCCAAAAGGAGGAGCGTGGCCAGAAAGAGAAACCGACTGAAAGATCTGGAAAGAGATGAGAAGAAAAATAAGTCCCACATAGGAGACTGCAGAGGAGCCAGGGAAAGCCCGGCAAACCTCGGGGAGGGGGAGCAAGGGGAGAAGGATGGGGCCTGAGAGGAAAGCCATCCCATGAGTGCTTGAGGGGAAACTGTCCTGGAAAGTCTTAAGTGCTGTCATTGTGCAGAAACACTGGAGGAGGTTGGGAGGAAGTGTGTGGTAGGAACCAGTGTCTCTGGAGCCAGATTGCACAGGACGCAACCTCTGGCTCTGTTATTTACTGTGAAGTCATGTGATCACTCTCCCTTCCAGCTAGGAGCCACCAAGCACAGGGAGCTTTCTCTAGCTCTTACCTGACTTTCAAACCAAGTCTGTGAGAAGAAAACAGGGTTAGATGTAAGTGGGTACCACACAGGATGTCAGTGACACTTCTTCCCAGCCCAGCAGGACTTCCTAAAGCACAGAAAAGATAGACACAGACAAGCATCAATTCAGCCAGTCATTTACTACCCACCAGACAGAAAGATGACCATGGAGTGCTCCCATCCCTACACAAGCACCGAATTCAGCAGTGATGACCAAAGATACGGTTTTGAATATGATTTTTCCCTCTAAAATGTGTGGTAAGGGGCTGGATGGCTGGCTCAATGGGTAAGGCACTTGCTGTGTGAGCATGAGGACTTGTGTTCAGAACCCCAGCACCCACATTAAAAGCCAGGCATGGCCACACCATGCATCTGTAACTGCAGTGTCAGGTGCAGAGAAGGAGCAGAGGTGGAGAGTCACTGGGGCTTGCTGGCCACAAGCTTAGAGGAAAAATGACGAGTCCAGATTCAGTGAAACACCCTGTCTTAGTGGAATAAGGTAGACAGACACGATGTGCATAAATATACCAATACACACCTATACATACATGTATGCACACATACATAAAATACACACACACCAAAAAAAAAGTATGTTGACTAATTGTATTAAGAAGACCAAGTAGGACTTTTAAGAGGTTATTGATGCTCATGCATTTAATGAAGTAATGGATTAGTGGGCTAGTGGGTTATCTTAAGCGTGGATCTGCCAAGCTGGAGTGATGGCTCAGTGGTTGAGGAACACTGACTGCTCTTCCAGAAGACCTGGGTTTGATTCTCAGCACCCACATATCAGCTTACAACTGACACATTCACACAAACATACATGCAGGCAAAACACAAGTACACATGAAATAAAAATAAATGATTTTTAAAAAGTGGATCTGCCATAAAAGCCTATCAGACCAGGTCTCTCCCCATTCCCTACCTCTTATCACATGACACTCACTCTGTTGCCATAAGACCTTGCCAGCTCTTTGCCAAAAACACTTTGACCTCAGACTAGAACCGTGTCCCAAAATGAACATCTTTTCTTTATAAGGTACCCAGTCTGTGATGTATCAATAGCAGAAGAAAACAGGCTAGGAAGACAAGAGTGGTGACACATGTCTTTAATCCCAGCACTTGAGAGGTGCGGACAGGAGTTCAAGGTCAGCCTCTGGAACATGCCAAGCTCAAAGCCAGCCTGGTCAACAAGAGATCCTGGCTTCAAAGACTGAGATAACCAACGTCTATGATAAATGCTAACATGAAGACATAGCCCTGAGAGGTGGAGTCCATAAAAGTATGTGGAATTTGCACAGTACCTTCAGGGATTAGTGTCAGACTTCTAGGCAGCAGCAGAAGCTAAGAATGCTTGCATGGTAGCAGAGAACTCAGAGTCTCTAGAACTGAAGACTGAATGAAGCAGCAGCCAGGCAGAGACAAGGGCAACTATGAAGTCCCCAGAGACATGAATGAGGGACTGCCCTAAAAATAGTGTCAGAGGAGGCAGGCCATGACACATGTCTGCAAGTAGAGTCACTAGGAGGTGACTAAGCCAGAGTGGAGTCGCCTCCTTTTATACAACTCCTCCTCCTCCTCCAGGAAGTAGAGTGGGAGGGAAAGGTCTCCAAGTAGAGTTCATAGCCATCAGGGAAATACAGAAATAACGGTAATACCAGAATAAGACTATTGGCCAAAATATTTGCCTGTCTTTACAAGCCACTGTGCTAGAGGCTGTGCGAGCCACTTCAGGGAGGCTCCTGATGGAGAGCCAGTAGTGAATGATTGACTACAGGGTCTTATGTCCACATCAAGCACACTGGCAGCAGGCTCAGCAATCACTACAAACCACAGCCACTAGGAGAGACTGTGACTAAATGAAGGGTGTGATCTCAGGGAGTAAAGGATGGGCATGAAGGGTAAAAGGTGCTTTTAAGGCATTGTTAATTACAAGATCCGACAGGGATCATGCAGTTCAACCCAATTTCTACTGAAGAACCCTCTGTTCAAACACAATCTCACATGAAAGATCTATGAAAAAATGACAGATGAATTTGGATAAAGAGAGACACGACTGATTTGCTCTCCTACCCCACCCCCCATCCCCACCAAAGCTGCCAAGGTACGGTTCCCCACCAAAGCTCTGCAGAATAGTCCTTTTTAAATCATTGACATAAGGCAAGCCTGCGACTTTAGCAATCCAGATGTTCAAGCCAGGCAATGGTGGTGCACATGTCAGATCCCAACACTTGTGAAGCAGTGGCAGACAGATCTCTGAGTTCAAGGCCAACCTGGTCTCCAGAGTGGGTTCCAGGACAGCCAGGGCTACCACAGTAACCCTGTCTCAAAAAACCAAGACAGAAAGAAAACTCTCTTTATGAGAGAAAATAAGAGGTCCAACCCAGTTTGCCTCCCATCTTTCCATCCTTTAACCAGAAGAAATGGCTGCTTCATTCTTTCAGGTATTTCCCATTTAAATTCTCCCAATGCTCATCTTTAAGTTACCAGATAATAGACTCGTGATGCTACTTCTTCGTGCCTTCTCCTGTTTTCCGCCGAACAGAACAGGGTTCCTGCTGCATAGGAGGGGAGCAGAGATGGCTGTCCTAAGGGCCCACATCAACACTAGCTCTCCCACCTTGTAGCCATGGGTCAAAGTCTGCCAGCCCAAAGCCTTTCTTCAGTCACCCCATCCACAGACAGAGCTTTCTGACCTGTGTGATACGGTTTTGGAATCCCTAACCATGGACCAGGTCATAAGGAGGCACCCTCAACGGAACATCTGCATAGCGTTCCATGTTCCGCCAGCCAGCGCCCACCCACTCTCTGCCTCACATGCCTCAATCACTCCTCATTCTTGGGCCCTGTCTTCCTTCCCATAGCTTCCATCACCAAAAATGTCATCTCTCTTCATCCAGGCTACGATGAAAGTACCAAGTCATGTCTGGTTCATGCTGTGTATTCCACATACAAGATAAAGATAAAATAAAATAAAAATTTAAAAATGTGATTCTTCAAGACTAAGGTTCGGTGCAAGAACATAGGTGAAACTCATGTGTTCACGCTCTAGTTGGTGCCATGAAAATGGGTCACTCAGTGTAGAAGGATAAACAACTGTGAGAGGGCTGGCTACTGTGACGGGCACATGGATGCCTCTGTGTGAGCCTTGCTTGTGCTGCCCACTAGCTAGATGGCAACTGGCAAGTTGGTTAATGTCTACAAGCCCAGCTTCACTTAGGCAATGCAGGCTTAATGTTCCCTAAATCACTGGAGCTCCATCAGGGACAAATAAGCCACAGGAGCTCTGGGAAGAGCCAGCTGCAGCCCCTGGCTTGAAGCAGGTGTTCAACAAAGAAGGAGGGTGAGGGAGGAATAAGGAGAAACGGATTGGCAGCTGGACCCGGAGCCCAGGTCTATTGCAGAAGCCCAAAGATAATCCCCCCAGGGGGTGGATAAACAAAGTCAGGTCCCATGGGACATTCAAGAGCAACTGAATTGGCAGGGATTACACACCGTGAAGTCTAGAGAGAGAGCAGTTAAAAGAGCAGAGGGAGCAGGTGAACAGAATAACAGGGAGGGAGGGAGAGATCAAAGGAGGAACTCCACCAGCCAGAGCATTTGGGCTGCAAATAGATTGTCCTATTAACACCATTTGTGGAGCAGACATTTAACTAACATAAGAAGTCTAGAGGGTAGTGCTTCCAAAATTAGCCCCATGGCTCACCAGTGTCCCCAAGAACCCAGGATTTTTCCATCCTTTCTTTACCATATCCTGAGCAAATGGTTTTCTCCCACTCAGGGTTGCTAACCAGCTCCTGCTGTGCCAAATGCCAGGGTTTACCAGCATCTACAATGGGAATGGAGAGGGAGGGGGAGGGGGAAGAATGGAGGAAGGACAGCATTGTTCCTTTTCTCCTGAATTAAGCTCTCCCAGGAGCCTTCTCTCAGATAAGGCTGTTCCATTGCCCATGTCTAGTACCATGAAGCCAGGACACAATATCAGACTCCAAAACGGGAGAGAGACAGTCAGTTGAATATAGTCAGCCTGGGTGTGTGACCAACACCATCTGCCATGCTATTTGGGTTTGAAATGTGGGACCCTAAAGGAGACAGAAAGGACCTGTGCTGTGAGCAAGAAGGGAAGTCTAGAAACAGATTCTGAAAGCCAACTTGTGTTGCTTAGAAGACTGGTAAGCCACTTTCACAGCTGAGTTCTCTCCCCAGCTCAAGGAAACAGATTCCAAAAAGAAGGCAGTGACTTTTCACCTCAGCAAAGCCAGACAAGAAACCAGGCATGGTGGCTCACACCTGTAATCAGGAAGGAAACAGGATGGTGAGCCAATCTGGGCTGCACAGGGAGACCCTGCCTCAGCAAAACAAAATAAAACCAAACCAAAACTCAAAAGGCGGCTGCTTCAGGAAGTACAATGAGCCACGCCCTCTAGATCAACAATTCAATGGATATAAAGGCAGACGCTGGGAGGCAACGGGGAGATTTTTGTTCCTTTGGCTGGTGGAACCTTCAGCTGCCTCAGCCATTTTGAGAAATAAGCCATAGCCCAAATTCCCCTTCTAGATTCACAACCCTGCATATGTGTGTCCAGTTATAGACAGTAACATTCACTGAAACACTCTGTGAAAAATAATAAAGCTGGAACAACCAAAATATCTGGAGACTGGAATGTGAATAGTGAAGGCACTAAGGAATGATCACCGCATAACGGTAGCAACACGCATTGCATTAATTCCAGAAGACACCGTTCAGAAAAGGCAAACTGTGGCAGAGCTTATCTGGCATGGTTATTTATATGAAGTTCCACAACATGCAAAAGCTGAAACAACATGCTACTTAGATAAAAAATTAACATGAATGTAAAACTACCAAATAGAGGGAAACTACACACATACAGCCCAAACTCAGTGCAAGCTTGGGGACAGGTTATGGAATAATCTTTTTGCACACTATGGAGATGTGTCTTTGCCAGGGCACCTTCTGACTGGCTTGATAAAAGAGCTGACTGGCCAGTAGGTAGGCAGGACAGCAAGACACCAAGGATGCTGGGAAGGAGGGTGGAGTCTCAGGAGTCACA